CCCCAGGCTCAGCACCCCCAGGCTCCGCACCCCCAGGCTCCGCACCCCCAGGCTCAGCACCCCCAGACTCAGCACCCCCAGACTCAGCACCCGCAGGCTCAGCACCCCGAGCAGCACCAGAGTCAACAGCTACCTCGACAGGCTCGACTGCGTCTACCTGGGACACACCTGACGGGGCAGGACCCTGAGGGGGGAGAGGGTCTACCGGAGGGGGACCTGGCGCAAGGAAGAGTGGCGGCGGGGGGAGGGGCGCAGTGCGGTAGGGGAAGAGACGGTAGTAGGGAACCGACTCGTCAAAGGTGACGTCCTGGGAGGACAGAAACACGGCGCGAGGTGGGGTGGTAAAACTGCCAACCAGGCGCGTCAGGGGGGAAGCCAAGGAAGACGCAGGGAACAGCACGGGGGGACAACTTGTCTACAGACAAGTCGCGGACAAACGCCCGAGATCCCCAGACACGAAACGCAGATGCATCGCCAACCTTCCCCGTCCACCGCAAGGTGGGGGAGGTCTCCGGCAAGGAGACTCAGGGCTGAAGGTTGATCTGATGCGCCGCGTACTGAACCGCGAACGGCCACAAAAAATGGGGAGCAGCCGCATGGATCATGGACGAACGAGCGACGTCCATGACCATGCCAATGCGGCGCTCAGCAATCCCATTTTGCTGTGGAGAGGCCGGAAGCGTGTACGTCTGACGGATGCCCTGTGCATGGCAGAAGGCTCCCAGAAGGCCGGAGGAAAAAACCCCGCCTCTGTCAGAGTGCAGACGCAGAACAGGAAAGTGCGAGCCGAAACTCCTCCTGAGCTGGAGACGAGCTGCGCGGATCCAGTCGATCAACACCCCAGTGACGTCACCCTTGCTGCGCAAGGGGATCACCGTAGTGTAACGCGAGTAGTCGTCAACCACCAACAGGAAGTAACGCTCGTGACCCTGGCCACGGAGTCGGGCGGGGCCCCACACGTCCATGTGAAGAGTCTGCAGCGGAGCCTCTGTCGGAGGAAACTCAGAGGAGTGAGGAGCGGCGCGCTGCCGCGAACGCAGGTAGGGGCAGGCCCGGGAGGAAGGGGAGGGAGGGACCGGGGGAGACCAGAGACAAGGTAACGGGAGGCCATGCCTCGGAGACGAGGCAAGGAGGGGTGACCAAGGCGGTGGTGCCAGAGGAGAGTCTGGTGGGACAGGAGACGACATGAGCAGGGAGCAGACTCAGGACCAGACCTGGACGCTGCAGCAAACACCTGACCCGACGCAGCTACCTGACGAGACTCAGCAGCTTGAGAAGACCCAGTGGTCAGTGTGTACAGGCTCGACCCCGGCTGACGGGTAAACGTGGCCAAGTGGCGGCCCGTCCGAGCACACGTACAGTGGGTCACTCGCTGACTCGCATGAGTGAACTGGTCAACCCCCCCATCCTGTAGATCAGCTCCACTCACCAAGTTCGTGGAGAACGAGGGGAGGTAGAGACCTGACAGGGTACCAGAGGGGGCAGCCGGACACGGTAAGACAGTGGAGAAGTGGGCACGGACAGGACCCCCAGAGGGGTCCTCCAAAGAGACCGCAACTGGCTGACTAAGCGGCGTAAGTGTGGTGCGGTCTCGAAAAAGGAGCGGGAAGCACCCGAGTCAAGGGTGAAGGTGTGTACGGCCTGAGCCGACGTGGTACCTGAGAGAGCAGACTCACCAGCACCTGAGGCAGCAGACGCACTAGCACCTAGAGCAGCAGCCTCACCAGCACCTGGGGCAGCAGACGCACTAGCACCTAGAGCAGCACTCTCACCAGCACCTAGAGCAGCAGCCTCAATGCCCGGCTCAGGCGGAACACACAGGTAACAGTCAACCTCATCACTAGTAGACACAGCATACATGGCAGCAAGAATAGCATCATAATCTAGATCAAAGATAGCAACCCCCGACCTAAGCAGCTCGCCCCAGCGGGGGATCTCCGTGGCGTCAGGGAACTGGAGACGCTAAGCGTCCGTCAGGCGGCCGAAGCAGCGCTGGGTGGTGTGCGGGCCACCGCACGGCTCACCAGTGCGGTCGCCGGTACGCAGGACGTAGGCACAAGGACCAGCACCCCCGCCCCGCTGACGCGCAGCGTACCACTCACGAAGGTGCTGGGGGGGCGGGGTCTCACGAGTGCGCTGCTGCTGCTGGCGCTGACCACCACCGAAGCCGCCCCGCTGCGCAGAGCCACCCCGACCAGCGCCACCTCCACCGCCGCCACCTCCGCCACCGCCGCCACCGCCACCTCCTCCGCTCCCACCGCCACCGCCGTCGCCGCCTCCGCCTCCACCGCCGCCACCGAAGCCCCCACCCCCGCCACCACTCCCGCCGCCACCCCCACTCCCTCCGCCGCCTCCACCGCCACCTCCACCACCCCCGCCAGCCCCTCCAGCGCCCTTGCCCCCCTTACCCTTGCCGGTTCGGCGTCTCCCGCTAGGAGCAGACGCAGCGCCGACCGACTCGGTGCCAACGAAGTCGACGGCAGCAGCAGAGGCAACAGAGGGCAGAAGGGGGGAGGGGGAGCACCCCTCAAAGAAGGGGGCACGAGGGTCACCACGAGAGGCTCCTACAGTGACTATACTTTTCTCAGCTGCTAGGAGGCGCTCCTCTAGGAGGTCAACGGTGAGTGTGGTGGGGCAAACAGAGAGGAAGTGGTCCCTGACTGGACGAAGGGAGTCAGGGAGCCGGGTGACTATGTAGTAGAGGGTGATGTACATGGGGGGGGGGTTCTTGGCGCAGAACTCAGCAGGAAGTGCAGCGCGGTAGCGGGTGTCACTAGTGCGAAGGTGCGTAATGAGGTCAGCGACTGTGGGAAAGGCGGCTAGGTCAGGGAACAGGTACGGCAGCATGAGGCGGCTAAGAGCAGCAGTGGCAGGGGAAGAGTAGCGTGCAATGACAGCGTCGTACAAGGTCTTAGCACTCTTGTACTGACTAAAGTGCGCGCGCTCAGTGGACGGCAAGTGATTACGCACAGCAAGACGGGCAGCAGCATCGCGTGTGGCCCACTGTGAGCGAACAGTGCTGTCAGCATCGGCAGCAGGGGCAGGAGAGGCGCCAGACGTGAGATCGAACAGTGAGAGACCGTCTTTCCTATCGCACTGTAGGAAGAGCTGCAGATCATCGACCCAGACCTCAAAGTCAACAGCCCGACCCTCAGCATCAAAGACAAGGACGCTAGGGGTAGCCATGACAGCAGTGGCAGCAGTAGCAGCAGTGGCAGTAGGAGCAGTAGTGGCAGCAGTGACAGCGCAGTGCGGCGACACTCCTACCAGGGCAGAGAGCCGCAAGTGGTGGGGCAGGGCCGAGGCGCGCAGGTAGGGCCGAGGCGCACCAGCAGAGGCGGGCCGAGGCGCGCCGGTAGGGCCGAGGCGCACCGGCGGCTGCAATCAGCGGCGGCGGCAGCTGCGGCCCCGAGGGAGGTGGCGGCGGCTGCTGCAGGTGACGGCTGCGGCAGCTGCGGCTTCCGCTGCAGGGACGGCGGCGGCTGCTGCTGCAGGGACGGCGGCGGCTGCTGCTGCAGGGACGGCGGCGGCCGCTGCTGTAGGGACTGCGGCGGCTGCAGGAGCAGGGGCGGCGACGGCGGGCCGCGAAGGGCGGCGACAGGGCCGCAAGAGGCCGCGAAGGGCGGCGAAGGGGCCGTGAAGGGCGGCGCGAGGGGCCGCGGAGGGCGGCGACGGGCCGTGAAGGGCGGCGCGAGGGGCCGCGGAGGGCGGCGACGGGCCGTGAGGAGGCCGCGAGGGGCCGCGAAGGGCGGCGAGAGGGGGGGGGGGGCCGACGGGCGGCGCGAGGGGGGGGCCGTAAGGGGCCGAAAGGGCGGCGCGAGGAGCCGTAAGGGGCCGCGCGAGGGGCCGTAAGGGCGGCGCGAGGGGCCGTAAGGGGCCGCTAAGGGCGGCGCGAGGGGCCGACGGGCGGCGCGAGGGGCCGTAAGGGCGGCGCGAGGGGCCGTGAGAGGGGCCGCTAAGGGCGACGCGAAGGGGCCGTGAGGGGCCGTGAGAGGGCGCGACGGTAGGGAGGGCAGACGGGGCGCGACTCGGGCAGGAGCGAAGCGCGCTTCGGGCAGGAAAAAAAATCGTGGTGGGCCCTAGGAAGCGTTCCCACTAGGGAACCTGCTCGATACCATGTGAAGAAACGAGGAATGATTGACTAGTGCAAGGGTTGGGTACAAGTACAAACCCTAGAAATATTGTACCCCATATGTGCTACCCCACTACAGCCTACATAGGTTAAGTCATATAAGTCTGACATAGAGAACCCAGGGAATAGCAACACCGCCCAAGTTCTTGGAGGTGGCGATAAAAATGATACCCTACTTCCTCTGGGAGGAGCGTGTGTGGTAGTAAGGCGATGCTTCCATTGCAGTAGAATACCGTACCAGTAGTACCACGGGCTAGCAGCTTCCTTCAAAGAGCTTCAGTTTCTAAAAAAAGGCTCCACTAAGGCAGGTATCCCGGAGCATGTAAATCATTGCAGCTGCATGTGCCCGCCAGCAAGCAGCAGCTTGAGAGCACAAAAGTTGGACTACCAAATGTCATCAATGAGGAAGTGAAGCTGCTTGACATTTCCGTCCCTCACACTACAGGGTGGGAACATCAGAAACTCTATCCCAGATATCTGGCTAAACAGCCTTTACACACCAGCCCAGAATGGAAGTGGTTGAAATCAATAAGAAAAGGCTTGGAACGTAGGAGCACATCAACAGCAGCTCCATTGCAAGATGAGCCATGCTTACTACCACATGGTGCTTCCTTCCATCAACCTCCCCATGACTGCCCTCTCTTCCAACTCTCCTCCCCCCATCCCCTTCAACCCCCCTGTAAGCGACCTCCTCAGTCTCCTCTCCAATGCCCCCACCAGCCTCTTCCTCCCTATCCGATACCGCAACACCACCTCCCTCTCCCTTGCCTCCCTCTCCGCTATGCCCCCTTTCCTGTCCCCTCCCTCCTCCGCACTCTCCTCACTCTCACTTTCCTCGCTTTCCTTACTCCCCTCATTCTCTTGAATCTCAAATTTCCTCCCTCCGACCGTCCTCCCCTTCTCCGGGACCCTCCCTTCCTCCTCCCTCCACAACCCTCCTCACATTCTTCCTCTTCCCCACCCTCTTCGTCAACCCCCTCCTCTCTCTCTCCAACAAGCCTGCCAATTCCTCCTCATCCTCCTCCAACCGGTTTCCAAACCCTTCAATAACAGCACAACAACGCGCGTGTATGCCATCCAGAGCAGCTTTCAGGCATGCAAGCAGGCGGGGAGAGAGGCGGGGGCGCAGGGGGTGCAATGCCGGGTGGGAGATGCCCCAGCAGTAGAGAACGCTGGCACAGGCTATGGGATGGTGCCGGGGCTCTGTTTGTCGGGAGCGGGGGAGGAGGATTTGGGGTTTGTGGGGACGGAAAGAGGGGAAACAGGGGGCAGAAGGGCATGGGGTGAATGGGAGATGCCTTAGCACAATGGAGGGAACAAGCACAGGGGCACAAGGAATGAGAGGAGTTCTAGTGATTGCCAGAACAGGCCACATATTCACCAAGACCAAACACTCGCACTTGCCTCAACCGCTCACTCGCAATCACCCTGACCGTAGATGACGAGGAGCCAGAGACTGGAAGACACTCGTGCATACATACAGCACTGACGGAACACACTCGCGCATACATACGACACTCACGGAACACACTCGCGCATACGATACAACACACGCTGGCACTCACCGCGGCCATAGACAAAGAGGTGCCAGAGAGCAGCAAAGGAGGCCATGATGCGAGGGTCCACATGCCCATGCGGCCACACCGCATACCCCCTCTCCGCCTCAAAGCTGTACTCTGGCCCATACAGACTCGCCCCGTATGGAAGGTATACTGTTGCTGTTGCTGGTGATCTCTCTGCTGCTGGTGAATCCTTTCCCGAGGGGCACTTTGACGGAGATTGTTTTTCTGGTGAGCTCTGCGCTGCGGCATTTGTTTTTCCCGGTTTTTTAGAGAAAGCACGTGCTTCTGCACAATTCTCAGCGTCACTCTACTTTCCCCCGTTCTTCTCATCCTCTTTCTCCGCCGTCTTTCCGTTCTCCTGCAATCTCGCCTCCCGCTCATCCAAGGCATGATTGATCTCCATTCCGGCACCCTCTTGACTTCCCTCTCTTGTCTCCCCCCCTCTTCTATCCGTATTTCCTTCGTCTTCCGTCCAGCCATTCACAGCTTCATATGCCTTTCTCAAACCACTTTTGCCATTCCACTTTCTGTTCCCATCTTCTTCCTCCTCCACACTACCCCCCCTCGCTCCGCTCATCTCCTCTCTTGCCCTCCCTCTCCCCCCGTCCTCCTCATCAGCATCTAGTACCACCACTGCTCCCTCCTCTTGCCCATCCTCACACCTTGCACAGCTAGTTTCACATCTAGAACCTCTGTTTTCCACCTTCTCTCCACCACTACTCCCACCACCCTCCATCACACTCTCCCCATCACAACCAATCTGCACCAACTCCTCCTCTTCTCCATCCACGCCCCCCTCACAAATGGTCACCCTCTCCCTTCTCTCTCCACCGCTACACCCACCGTTTCCCCCATCAATTCGTCTAGTAGTCTCCTTCTCCCTCTCCCCTTCAATTCCCCCCTCAATCTCCCCATCAATCTTCCCCTCCCGCTCCCCCTCACCCTTCCCCTCACACTCATCCCCACTCTCCCCCACCCCCTCCCCACCTCCATCCTCCACAGTCCCAATCAGCACCCTCACCACCCTCCCCACACTCTTCACACTCTCCTCCACCTCCCCCACCACCCCCCTCGCCACCTCCCCATCCTCCTCCCCAAAATCCCCGGGGAAATAATGCTCCGCGAAGAACTCAAGCAGGTCGGAAGAGGAGCGGAAGAGGGGGAGGGAGTCGAAGGAGTTGGGATGGGGGAGAAGCCGTAGGACAGGAGGAAGGAGTGGGAGGAGCGCACGCCGTAGTGTGTGAGGAGGTCAGCACTGGGGGCGATGGGAGCAATGGCGTGGAACAGATAGTGGCCTGATGAGGCACGCTGGGATTGGGGGAATGGGGGCGTGGGGAGGAAGAGAGGGGATTGGGAAAGGAGGAAAAGGGGGGGACACGAAGCTACTTTTCTATGAGACACGAAGAGCTTGGGGAGAGAGGATGGTGGAGGAGGGAAGTTGCAAGGAGAGGGGGATGCGAGGAGAGGTGTGGCGACAAGGGCCGCGGAAGGTAGAGAGTGAGGGGCAGTGGGGATGAGGAGAGTGGAAGAATGGGGAAAGAATGAAGGGACAACGAGAGTGGCAAACGATATGAGGAGCTCTGAACGAGGGATGGCAGTCAAGAATGGGCGGATTGAGAAGAATAGAGAGCATAGGGAGGGATGAGGAGCGTGGGGAGGATAGGGAAGGAGGTGAGGATGGGGAGGATGGGGAAGGAGGAGAGGATGGGGAGGATGGGAAGGAGGTGAGGATGGGGAGGATGGGGAAGGAGGAGAGGATGGGGAAGATAGGGAAGGAGGTGAGGATGGGGAGGATGGGAAGGAGGGGCGGGGGGCGGATTTGCATTGTGGTGTTGGGGGAAAGCGGCAGCGCTTGGTTGACGGCCCACGCAGCGCAGCAATGACCTGGCCACTGACTAACCTTACACCATTCGTTCTTACATCATGGGCCCAGGAAGGTATGCAGGAGTGGAAACGGTGGGGTTTTGGGTATGGCGAGGGTGATGGTGAGAACGAGAGGGGGGAGAGAGGGAGGGAGGGAGGGAGGGAGGGAGGGAGGGAGGGAGGGAGGGAGGGAATGAGGGAGGGAGGGATGGATGGAAAGGGAGGGCGTTGGCACTGACAGTCCAGGTGCCGTTGTAGTGCTCGCTGTGGTTCATCAGATCCGCCAGGGGCAGCAGCGCCCCCCAGCTGTTCTCCTCACACGCCTCTGCTGCTGCTGCTGGCGCTGCTGCTGGCGCTGCTGACGCTGCTGCTGCTGCTGCTGGCGCTGGCGCTGCTGCTGCTGCTGCGGCTGAAGGTGGCAAGGAGGAAGAGGAGGGGTCAGCGGAGGCGGAGGAGGGCGAGGAGGGAGGGGAAGGGGAGGAGAAGGTGCGAGAGGAGATGACGGTCATGGCCCAGAGGAAGGCGGAGAGGGGTGCATGGGCGATGAAGTCAGGAGCGCACCGCCGGTACTCCTGCTCGTACGCGTGCCGGTATGCCACTGCCTGTGGGTGGGGGGTGCGGTGGGGTGCAGCATCGGGGTGGCTGGTTGGGTTGGAGGTTGGCAGTGCAGCATGAGAAATGTGTGAGGGAAGGAGGAGGGGCCGGCCACCGAAATGATGAAGTTGTGGGGGATGATGCGGGCAGGGGACAGTGCGCTTGGTGTGAAGAAGAGGTGACTTTTGAGTCGACTCAAAAGTCACCTTGATGCGGGCAGGGGACAGTGCGCCTGGTGTGAAGAAGATGAATAAGAAAAGGAGCGAATGATGCGCCATCTTTTGAGGCGCCTCAATAATGGTACGTCATCAGCCATCCAGTTTGCATTTGCACTCCAAGTAGCCCTCCAGCTTCCAACCACATGCTCCCACATTTGTCCGTTTCCCTCACGCCGCATTTTTCCATCCCCTCCTTTCCTTCCCCTTTCATATCCTCCCCTGCTCCCCCCCTGCTCTCCCCTCCTCCCTCCCCTCCACCACTCCCTACCTCGAACCATCCCTTCAGTAGGGCATAGCATAGCTGCTGACCTTTGAGTCGAATTCACTCACTCCCACCATGAATTCCATGAAACGCCACGTGATAGAAGTTGTGGTTGAGACGTCTCAAGACTCAAAGCACAACCGTCATCACGTGGATATCTGCTGTGAGATTCTGCTGTCATCACGTGGGCGAGCCCAGAAAATAGTGTCCTGACTCCCGGTTGGTTGTTATGTGGGTAGGATTCTCATTGCATGCATGGAATGGAACGGAATGGAACGGAACGGAATCGCGTGTGCAACCAGAAAGCTCTCACCATGGCTTCAGTGGGGCGCCACTGCAGCTGCTGGATGGTGGAGAGCGGGAAGAGGGACGGCAGCGGCACGTGGGGGGGCAGCGTGGCGAGGTACGGCGCCCATGGGGAGGCGTGGCCCTTGGACACCTCTCGCAGCAGCCATGCTGCCATGCCCGTGCTCGCTGCCCACCCATTGGAGGACGCTGGTGCTGCTGGTGCTGATGGTACAGCTGGTGCTGCTGGTGCTGGTGGTGGTGCTGGTGATGGTTGTGCTGCTGATGGTCCTGATGGTGCTGATGGTATGGCTGATGGTGCTGGTGGTAATGGTGGTGCTGTTGGTGCCGCTGCTGATCCCGGTGCTGCTGCTTCTCCTGTTGCTTCTGTTGTTGCCACGCCTGTGCTCCTTGTCAGGCCTCAGTTAGGGGATCGAGATGATAAGTGTGATGGTGATGGTGATGGTGATGGTGATGGTGATGGTGACCATACTAATGCTGCTGAACTCGCAGCTACTGGTGCTTCAGCTACTACAGTGCTGCTATCACTACAACGTGCTGCTTCTGCAACATTGCACCACCGGTCTTCCGGCAGTGAACACACACTGCTACAGACATCGCTGCTACTGCCGCCACTGCTGTCAGAGTTGCTACCGCCACTACCACCAGAACAGGGAGGATTTGTACAGACGCACACAGCAGCAGCGCCACCATCTCTAGTGCTCTCCACGCCCCTCCCCTGCCCTCTGCTGCATCCACTGCCACCACTGCTACTGCCACCACTGCCACGGTCAGTGAATAAAGGGTTCCCAGGCTCTAAGTGTCTGTTCAGGCCTCCAAGTCCCTCCTCCCACCGCTCCTCCTCCTTCCTCTCTCCCTTCCCCTCTCCCTTCTCCTCTCCCTTCTCATCTCCCTTCCCCTCACTCCCTGGGTTACTCCCTCCAGGATTAGAGGCAGAAGTGGGCGTAGGAGGAAAGGGTGAGGGGGAGCAAGAGGAGCAGGGGCAAGGGTGGGTGTGAGGGAGCGAGTAGGCGGGGGCGATGCGATCGGGAGTGATCTGCAGATTGGGCGGCATGCAGAAGAGCAGCTCTCCTGGCGCTATGTGGCGCGATGCCACGAGACCCAGGTCAGGCCTGGCAGGCAATGAGCACAGGCGTGGTGAGAAAGAGGCGAGAAAGAGAAATGGGGGAAAACTGGATGAGATGAGCAGCTCTCCTGGTGCTATGCGGCGAGATGCCACGAGACCCAGGTCAGGCCTGGAAAAAGGGCGGGTGCAAGGTGATGAGGGAGGGGGGAGGCGGGATGGGACGGAACGGGATGGGATGGGATGGGATGGGACGGGATGGGATGGGATGGGATGGGATGGGATGGGATGGGATGGGATGGGATGGGATGGGATGGGACGGGACGGGACGGGACGGGATGGGATGGGACGGGATGGGATGGGACGGGATGGGATGGGATGGGATGGGATGGGATAGGATGGGATGGGATGGGATGGGGCGGCCATCAAGAACATTGACTAACACATCCAATGAATCGGAGGTCAGTGGGCAATTGATCAATCCAATGAATCCAACGAGCCCCGGCAAGACAATTATGCTGCAAGCAAGTACACACAATCCCCTGCCCTCGCTCTTTCACCCCACACACAACAGAGCCCCTTCCATTCACTCATGCGCACACACACACCCCACATGCGACCTCTATTGCAACCCATGCGTCTCTTTGCTTACCCTTTTCTCTCTCACCTGCCTCTGGGACCTGCATGTCTGGATCCAGGAGGCAGATGCAGCAGCGGACACACCACCACCTGATAACGTGCGATGTGCCATGCCATGCCACGCCATGCCATGCCACGCCATGCCATGCCATGCCATGCCACGCCATGCCATGCCATGCCATGCCATGCCATGCCATGCCATGCCACGCCATGCCATGCCATGCCATGCCATGCCATGCAATGCCACGCCATGCCACGCTATGGCATGCCATGCCACGCCACACCACGCCATGCCACCCCAAGGACACGGGAACAAAACGAAAGAGGTGGGTTGCGAGTGCAGTAGACAGGTGTGGGAGAGGGGAGAGAAAACGCAGGAAAAAGAGAGGAGATTTGCACTGTGCAATGCAGAGAGCAGAGCTGATCCAAAGACGTTTGGTCAAGTGTGAGTGTCCAAAGACGTCTGCATTGCATTGCATGGCACCGCATGGCACTGCATGGCACTGCATGGCACCGCATGGTACTGCATTGCATAGGATGTCATCATTCCATGGCCATACAAGACAGATGCATGAACGCACCTTGAAGGGCCATGTGTGTGGGTCAGGAGTGGCGCCATTGGCATGCAGCCACAGCAGCAGCTCCCCCACATCCACCTCCATGCCCCCCATGTCCATTTCGCCCTCCCTGTCCTCAGTGCCCTCCCTTGCCTCCCTTCCCTCCCTGCCCTCTCTGCCCTCCCTACCCTCCCTCCTCTCCCTCCTTTCCCTGCCCTCCCCGCCCTCCCTGCCCTCCATGCCTATGCTAAGGCATCGGTTCGTGACGCCATGAGTATCACCACCAGCACGCACATCAGCACGCCCATGCCCATCTCGCTCTTCCCCCAACGCAGCCCTGGCCCCATGCGCTCTGCCTCTGCTGCTGCCACCCTGGTGTGAAATCTCGGCCTCGTGCCCCCCTCTCCGCCCCACAGCCCTGCCTCCTCCCTGTTCTCCCCTCGCACCTGCCTCCTTCTCCCGGTTGTCCTCCCTTCTCCCTCCCTCCTCCTCCTCCTCCTCCTCCTCCTCCTCTTCCTCTTCCTCCTCCTCTTTCTCTTCTTCTCCCTCCTCTTCCTCCTCCTCTTTCTCTTCTTCTTCCTCCTCTTCCTCCTCCTCCTCCTCCTCCTCCTCCTCCTCCTCCTCCTCCTCCTCCTCCTCCTCCTCCTCCTCCTCATACTCACACTCCCCCTCGTCATTCCCATGCATCACTGCCCATTCCTCACCATCATCCTCCTCTTCTTCCTTCCCCTCCCCCCCCTCCTCCACACACTCTCTCATTTCATCCCCCCCCGCTGGCTCCTCCCCCTCCTCCCTATCCTCCCCGTTCTTCCCCTCCTCCACACGTTTCCCCCCTCCTTCCCACCCACTCTCCTCCCGCCCACACACCTCACCACCCATCACCGCACTGCACTCCTTCGCCTCCTCCCCATCACAAAGCGTCCCATCCGCCCTTGCCCGTCTCCACTTCTCTCCTTCTGCCTCGCTGCCACCGCCACTCGTAGCACCACGTGCAACGCAAGTTGCCATGCATACGCGCAGCAAGCCACCACGTGCAAACCAGTTGGTTCTAAAGAACCACTCCAACGTCTCAGCGGCCAGCTTACGCTATCATACACGCGCGCAAACCACTCTCGGTTGCCATACCCATCTTCCCCTGCCCATCCTCCCCACCTCCCCCCCCGCTTCCCCTCTCTCTGCGCGCAACGAGCGCCGGGAGAAGGTGGAACGGTCGTGCCAATACTAGCCAACGTGGGGGGGGTGCGGGGAGCACGAGCGCGCGCGGAAGTTGCTCCGGGACGCGGAGTACGGGCGGAAGGCGCGGAGGAGCACGGTGGAATGGCACTAGATGAAGTAGCAGTGCGGAAACTTGGCGTGCTCTGGGGGAATGAGTATCGTGCGGCTCGGGGCAAGGAGCGGGGCTAGGGGAAAGAGAAGTGAGCCGATTCGCGGGCAAGCGGGCGAGGCGGCGAGGAGGCGCCAGAAGCGGTGGAGTATGCAGGGGAAAGGCGATTTGGCACGAGACTTAGTGTATATGTGCTACACTCCCCTCGCTAGCTACCCAGTACCCACTGGCACCGCACATTCGCAATCAGGCTGCGGAGGTAGCACATTCGCATTGCGCGCAAGTTGTGCGCGTGCGCCCCACGAAGGAATCAACCGCGAATCCGAATTCCATGAATTTTCGGACACTACTGGATCAGCTGGGCTTTCTGTTGGCATTCCGCCACACAATTTTAACCGAGGGTTGATTTTGTGTGTAGTTCCTGACCGCAATCAACCGGGTACCGAAGGAGACTTTATCGAACTCTTGTCCAATAACCGATCCCTCTTGAACGCATCACACCTTACTAAACCACCAGGGTTCTTGTTTTGTCACGGTCGGACCAGAAAATGGCTGGCGGATACTCCTTATCCACGCGACGCGACATTCACATGCTTGCTCAGAGCTGCTCACACACCCAGCATGTGGTTACACTGTAGCTCTCTCGGACTTGGTTCAAGCACACAGACAGTGCTGCAAGAACACGTCGTCATGAGTGAGTGACCCATCGTGAGTAGTGGTACAATTACAATACAACTATGATGTAAGCAACTCTGATGAGTGTGGGAGTGTGTGGGAGAACTCGTTTCGTTTCCCCCAGTGACGAATGGGAGTACGGTAGCACAACAAGCTGGAGTGCAGTCGCAGGGTTGGTTGGAGGAAACGATGCGGCACGATCATTCTTCTGCGCGAAACAAACTTCAAGTGGGCGATTCCGGCGGACTGTCGCAGCGTCATACTAGTAATAGAACGCCCGGATTCAAGTGAGTACCACTTGACGCATTCCGGATTTCCCCAGCCACTGCACGCCGAGGGTGACGGCCTCGTACTACTACGATTCAACCTCGGAGGTTACTGCAGTCCGCTTTTGAGTCGAGTAAAAAAGCAGTCGACTTATAAGTCGACTCAAAACCCAGCCGCCGCACGCCGAGGGTGACGGGCTCGTACTACCACTAATCGAAGTCGCGGCAGTCCCTTGTCGTACCAGTAGAGGTAGCACCTGCGCGACCGACGGCGGCGGCGTGTGCACCGGCGTTGCCAATTGGCTCGTCGACCGTCACGTTTGGCCGTGACCGTGAGCGTGAGCGACCGACGTCCAGACTGCGTGTCTCTCGCTCTCCCCCCCCTCACTCTCTCAACCCTCTCGCTCACCAACCTCTCCGTCCATGACGCCGCAATTCAATCTTCGCCGCACCCGCGCTACTACTATCACTCTCCCGGCTAGTAGCACAAGCGCTGCACAAGTGCTCGACACCAGCATCCCCAGTAGTAGAAATACCACAAGTAGCGCTACCAGCCTCACTGGCAGTACTAGTGCACGGCGCGCCGCCAGCTCTCACTCCCCTGCAAGCCAGACGGGCCGCCGCCGCCGCAGCAGCAGCACCAGCGGCGGCGGCAGCAGCAGCGCCGTTTTCTCGTCTCCGCGCGTGCTGGCGGCCGCAGCGCGCCTGCTCCTCGTACCTCTTCTCATCCTCACTGCCGCCGCCGACTGCTTTCCCCGCAACGCCGCGCCCCCACCGCTGCCCTCCCCGCCTCGCCGCCCCGTCTCCCCTCGCCACCGTCCACCCCCTCCGCGCGGCAACCACCGCCTGCGCGCGCCTTCTCCGCTCCGCCATGCGGCGGAACCGTCTCTCGGCGCGTGGCTCGAGTTCCCCAGTGTCGCCTGGGGGAATTCGAGCTCCTGGCGCAACCGCGGAGAAGGCGGGGGGAGCCAAGGCGGCGCGCGGGATCGCCGCGCGCTTTTGCGGGTTGAAGTTACCGCCGCCGCCGCCGCCGCTGCTGCTGCGAGGCCCGTGGCTCTAGGGACGTCGCAGTGTGAGTAGCGGGGATGAGGTAAGGGTGGTGGAGGGGAAGAGTGGGGCATTGGGAGTGGGGCATTGGGAGTGGGGCATTGGGAGTGGGGCATTGGGAGTGGGGCATTGGGAGTGGGGCATTGGGAGTGGGGCATTGGGAGTGGGGCATTGGGAGTGGGGCATTGGGAGTGGGGCATTGGGAGTGGGGCATTGGGAGTGGGGCATTGGGAGTGGGGCATTGGGAGTGGGGCATTGGCAGTGGGGCATTGGGAGTGGGGCATTGGCAGTGGGGCATTGGGAGTGGGGCATTGGCAGTGGGGCATTGGGAGTGGGAGTGGGTGCGCGGCGTGGTGGGAGCGAGTGCGTTGTTGCATCTCAATGCACCGTGCATTGATGCAGCTGATCTGGTGCCTGCACTACATCACTGCTCCCTGTTCCGCAGTATCTCGATCGATTACCCTGAGTATCCCCGTTCTCCCCATTATCCCCATTACCGTCACCTCCCCGTTCCCCCCATCACCCCGTTCACCCCATCTCCCCGTCCCCCGCATCGCCCCGTCCCCCCCATCGCCCCGTCCCCACGTCACCTCCATGGCCCTTTTCTCCCCATCATCATCCTCATCCCCATCCCCATGCACCTGCGCGGTGTGCGGGCAGTGCGCGCGCTGGTGCAGCTGCAGGAGGCGTGGGGGGGCGCGTGGGCGGGCAACAGCAACGCCACCACGGCGTGCTCTGCGTGGGCTGGCGTCACCTGCAGCCCCAACGGGGCCGTCCTTGCCCTGTGAGTCCCAACGGGGCCGTCCTTGCCCTGTGAGTCCCAACGGGGCCGTCCTTGCCCTGTGAGTCGCACCGGGGCCGTCCTTGCCCTGTGAGTCGCAACGGGGCCGTCCTTGCCCTGTGAGTCGCACCGGGGCCGTCATTGCCCTGTGAGTCGCAACGGGGCCGTCCTTGCCCTGTGAGTCGCAACGGGGCCGTCCTTGCCCTGTGAGTCCCAACGGGGCCGTCCTTGCCCTGTGAGTCGCAACGGGGCAGTCCTTGCCCTGTGAGTCGCAACGGGGCCGTCCTTGCCCTGTGAGTCGCAACGGGGCCGTCCTTGCCCTGTGAGTCGCAACGGGGCCGTCCTTGCCCTGTGAGTCGCAACGGGGCCGTCCTTGCCCTGTGAGTCGCAACGGGGCAGTCCTGCCCTGTGAGTCGCAACGGGGCTGTCCTTGCCCTGTGAGTCGCAACGGGGCCGTCCTTGCCCTGTGAGTCGCAACGGGGCCGTCCTTGCCCTAAAAATCTAACCATAGAATAGTCTCCCCTCCCCCCCAAGACAGTGATGCTACCGCTGAAAATCTCAGCTAGTACTCCACATTCGCTTGGCTTTCTCTAGAGCCCCTAACAGGTCAATCCTTCCAGGCTCCAACTACCCCCTGTGGACTGGGATTTGAGCCCCTTGTCTCATCTCACGCAACTCATTCAACCCCACACGGGAATCTCAACTCCAACTCTCTCAACAGCTTCATTCTCCCGGCAGACGACTTTTGAGGCGCCTCAAAAGTGAATCTCAACTGCAACTCTTTCAACAGCTTCATTCCAGGAAGACAGCATCTCTGCACTCGCAGCACTCGCTCACAGATTTGAACCTCTTGCAACATTACGCCCAACTCACTCAACCCAACACAGGGATCTCAAAAGTAACTCTTATGAGGGCTCCATTCCCGACAGCATCTCCGCACCCAAGTCACTTGCACACCTGTAAGAGGCACACTGGGATTGCTCCACCTGCGTGCAGCTCTCTCCACTGGGTGCTGCATGCCATGTACGCAGCACTGCTGGTACTCCTCCCCTGTCCATGCACTCTGCTGTCTGAATCCCATTTCCACTTCGGTTCCTCCCTGCTTCTGTGCTTCAAATTCATGCTTTTATTCCTGAAAATCGAAACACTGAATCTACATGTCAAACGTTTCGGCAGATCTCACCACAACTGCCACTATACAATCTTAACCTTTACAATCTCTGTCAGTCCTCGGCATTTGCTCGCCTTCCTATAGCCCTTTTGAACTGATCAGTCCAAAGTTCCAGCCACCCTCTGCAGACAGGGATTTTGGATTCTTGTTGTTTCATGATGCCCGACTCACTCAACCCAACCAATTCAGGGATCTTGGCATTAATTACTATCTCAAAGGCTCCATTCCCAACAGCATCTCTGCGCTCAAGTCACTTACATACTTGTAAGTGGACATGAGACACCATCGGACCGAACACGTTTGATGAGAACGAATTCAAACATGTACCTGTGTCGAACTGAACTCGAACAGTTGGGGCCGGATTTTGTTTTTTTCAGAAGTGAGATTCGAGTCGACTGATCGACCAAAGAGTCGAGCAGTGTTGAGTTTAAGGTCGTACACTAAGGTTTTTGACCCAAACTCGAACAGGTGTCGGAATCTTCTGCTCTCGGCTCGCCTGCACCTCTTGTCTCCTCTTCCTCCTGCTCTGCTCTCGCCTCTCCTGTATCTCCTGGCTCCTCTTCTTCTCCCGCCACTCTCAGCCTGGCTTCTGAAGGCTCCTCAGCTCTCTACTCATCCTTCCTTTGAGTCCAGCCACTCTCCCCACTTGTAAAGAGTACAGCCCCTGGCCAAGACGGCTATTCAAACCCTAGCTCGGCAGGCTGAGATGGTTAGCGAACGTTCTCTTCAGTGCTTGCGTAGGTTGGCTCCTCGTGCTTAGCCACGTCAGAATACGTAGAATGTTGTAAGCATAAGTGTGAAAACAATCACGCAAGCATCTCTCTAAGCTTGCCTAATTCCTTAAGTACCAGCGGCAGGTTACCGTTGTACTGACGGTCCCCTTTCGCCCGCCAACTTCTCGTTTCTGTTTGTTTGCTTCGGCATTCAGCCGGTCCACCCTTATCCTGCCTACTGTATCCTCTGATTATCTTATAAGTCACAAATTTATATCTAAGGCACCTACGCAAAGATTAGAATCTGACAACTATCGGAATCTTCGGCTCTCGGCTCGCCTGCACCTCTTGTCTCCTCTTCCTCCTGCTCTGCTCTCGCCTCTCCTGTATCTCCTGGCTCCTCTTCTTCTCCCGCCACTCTCAGCCTGGCTTCTGAAGGCTCCTCAGCTCTCTACTCATCCTTCCTTTGAGTCCAGCCACTCTCCCCACTTGCCCCCTCCGCGGCTGTCCTTGAGCCCCTGCAGGCTGCCGATGGATGCCTTCCTTACGTGGCTGTGTGTCCTTTCGCCCCGCGGGTCTCTCTTTGGCCCTAGCCACGTTGGTGCAATGATCCGTCCTCCTCTGCCCTTGCTCGCCCACGAGGACCACCACTCGAGAGTCATTCACTTCCTTAACTCTCCAACGTTCCGTGCTCAGCCCAATGTCCATCAGGTCATGCTTGGCCTGCTTCAAGTATACTTCCTCCCCTGCCCCCAGTGCCCTGTCCTTCTTCCCAGCTTGAAGCTCCCCCCGCCTCTTGTACCGTCGCGCATCTCGCAGCTGTGCCACGTGCAGGTTCTCCAGCGCCGCGGTAATAACTCTCTCAGGTACCTGGCTCTCGCCTCTGTCAGCCCCACCCAATCTTCTTCCTTCTCCACTCGCACCGACCCCGTCAGTATCCTCGGCGCGTCCACAGGTAACACCGGCTCTCGCCCCAGGAGGAGGTAGTAGGGCGACAAGTCTTTTAACGCTGCTTGCTTGCTGAACCGATATCCTGCCACCACCCACGGTAATCGCGCATCTCAATCCCGCTTGTACTGTTCCCCGTAAGCCCGCAGCCCCCGCTTCACCGTCTGTACGAACCGTTCCGTGAGGTCGTCACGCTGTGGGTGGTATCTGGACGTCCTCCGATGAGTGATACCGGTGGCCTGCAACAGCTTATCGAACTCCCCCATGAACTCTGTCCCCTGATCTGTGAGTACCTCACCACACGCCCCGAACCTGGTGAGCACTTGCTCCTCAAATGCTTCAGCTATTCTGGCTGAGTTCTTGTTGGGGAGGGCCCTCACTTCTACCCACTTGCTACCGTGCTCAATCATGATCAGGATGTATCCCTTCCCTCTCCTTCTCAGCGGCATCTCCCCCGCCAGGTCCAATGACCATCTGAACCCGATCCCGTGTATGGGTAACGATTGCAACTCCTTCCTTCCCCGTTCCAGCTCTGCTTTATTCCTGCTGCAGAGCTCACACCCGTCCACCCATTCCCGGATTTCCTCCCTCATCCCGTCCCACCACCATCCAGTTTCTACTAGCTGAGCAATGCACAGGCTTTCGTAGTGCCCTAGTTGCCGATGGACGTTCCGTATGATCTGTTCGCGTTCGTGCTTTCGTGGAACCAGTTTCCACCCGTCCCGTGTGTTCTTCTGCAGCTGCTCTTGGTACCATCGGTAATGGGCTCCTTTGGCCCTGGCCCTCTCGCTGACGGGGGTCTCTTCGGAGGTCTTTCCTTGCACCCAGTCCAGGACCTCTCGATCGTCCCACACGTCGGCTGGCCCCTTCCCCTTTTCACGGCTTGCCCCTTCCGCGTCTATCTCTCTCGCCAACGCCACTAGGCATGCCATAGGTCGGTGATCAGGAGGGTTTCGCGACAGCCCGTCCACGTGCTGCATGGTTTTGCCCGCTCGGTGCCGAATGGAGAAGTCATTTGGAGCCGCATTGCCCATCGCGCATTTCTCCCCGTCAGCGCCTGATTAGTCATCAGCCATGTCAACGGCTGATGATCTGTCATCAGCTCGAACCGTCTCCCCTGCAAGTACACCCGAAAATGTGTGATCGCCCACACGGCTGCCAACCCTTTGCCCTCGTACGAGCTGTATTTGGCTTCCGCGGGGTTACAGCTCCGGCTGGCGAAGGCTACTACTTTCTCCTCGCCTTCCCTCTTCTGACATAGGATCTCCCCCATCCCCGCGCTGCTCCAGTCCGTGTAGAGCACGAACGGGTCTCCCTTGCTTGGCAGCGTCAACACGGTAGCCGTTTTTACTGGCCTCAGCAGCGCTTGCAGCGCCTCCTGCTCTGCCTCCCCCCACTTCCATTTCTGATCCTCCCTTAGTAGCCGGTTCAGAGCCGCCGCTGTCTTGCTGAAGTTCTATATGAACTTCCGATAGTAGTTGAGGAGCCCTAGCACTGCTCGCAGCGTGCTTCGGTCCTTCGGCTGCGGAACTTTATCCAAGACCTCCACTTTCGCTTGCTGAATTCCCAGCTGCCCCCCTTGGACTTCTAACCTCAAGTACTTCACCCCTGTGTTCCCGAAACTGCACTTCTTCGGGTGGCAGGTGAGCCCGGCCTCTCGAATGGCGTCTAGTGTCGCTTTCACATCCTTCACATGTTGGTCCGCGTCAGGGCTGAAGACCACCACGTCGTCGATGTAGCATGCCGCCGCTGGCACCCCCCGGAGTATAGTGTCCATGATACGCTGGAACAAGGCCGGCGCGTTCTTCATCCCGAATGGCATTAATAGCCATTCATATAAGCAGTTCGGCCCGTGGAACGCCGTCTTCTTGCGGTCGGCCATCCTGATCGGGATCTGATTGAATCCCTGCCGCAAATCTAAGGCGGAGAACACCTTCGCCCCCTGCAGCTTCTCGAAAATCTCCTCCGCCGACTGCATGGGGTATCGGTCCGCGACAGTAACTTTGTTCAAGCTCCGATAATCCCCGCACATCCTTCTAGCTGACATTGCCCCTGTCAGATCCTTCCTGGAGGCCACGACCATCGCTGCGGCGTAGTCGCTCTCCGACCGCTGGATCAGCCCCACTTCTAACAGTTCACTGCATTTCTCGGTGCAGATGTCAATGTCTTTAGGAC